ACTTTTGCATTTTTTTCAAGCAAATAAACCGTAACTTGTTAGCAATAGAAACTGAATGACAAATAATTGACACATATCAAGAAGATAATGAATGCTAATTCACTATAACAAGCAGATAGATTAATGGGAGAAAACATACCAACACTGCACAAGACAAAGCCTGACAAAATGTCATCTTCCTCTACTCCAGATAACCTGACACGTACGTTTTCCCCAGGACCAACATGCCTTACTTTGTCTTCATCACAGAATATGGCAAGAACTTTTACAGCAGCCTATAAATCAGCTGGTGAGATGAATTTCCTCAAGTATTTCATCAATCACAAAACTCAATACAGTTGAGGTATAAAAGGTCCAAAAGATAGCACCTTATTTGGCATAATCAGTAGATTATCACCTTCACGTATGCTCCCAGACTCAATTTTACCCATAACGACAGTTCCCATGTCTTTGAATTTGTCAATAATAGGCATTCTGCAAAGAAAATGGAAATTGAAAAACAAGTAAACAACTTGGCAAAAGTTCAGAAGGAAATTAGGAGAAAAGAAAAGTAAGAGGAGTTGCTTATCATCCGGTGAAGGAAACAAGAGAGATAATGCATTGAAAATAAAAGATTAAAAATATATTGCAAATAGAAGTATAGAACTTGCAAATCTTACTCCTTTGCTTTCTTTCACATTTAAAGGTACAGTGCAAATAGAGCTTGCAAGTCTTACTCCTTAGACCCTCTTTTACTTCCCAAGATTTAAGTTCTAATTTTCTTAAAAAAATTCTACTTTCGCTTCAATGCTTTGCTGGTGTTCCCGCAAATCAAGTTTCATAGATGAAAAAAGGGAGCAGGCAGCACACAAACAAGTTACTCGGACTCTTCAAGAATGCCATTGAGTACGTGTCGGATCCTCCAAAAGTAGTGCGTTTTGGAGGATCCGACACGGGTGCGGCAACATTTTTGGAGAGACCGAGCAACATAGAATAGAACTTGCAAGTCTTACTCTTTTGCCCTTATTTGCAATTTACTTAAGTTTAGATTTTTCTCACACATTTAAAGGTACTGTGCAAATAGAGCTTGCAAGTCTTACTCCTTAGACCCTCTTTTACTTCCCAAGATTAAATTCTAATTTTCTTTCACACATTTCTGCTTTCGCTTCAATGCTTTGCTGGTGTTCCAGCTAATCAAGTTTCATAGATGAAAAAAGGGAGCAGGCAGCACACAAACAAGCTTTATCACTCTACCTAAGGCCAAAAAGAATTTTGTTTTCCACAATAAGAAATGAAAAGAGTATCACAACCCACAAGAACAAGCGTATAACAAACTTTTTATATTGTGATTCGTTAAAGACTGTCGAGCAAAATTAACTAGAAAGTGAGTGCTGAATTGGGAAATATGGGTAGAGCAAGAAAACAGTAACAGGAAGATGCCACGGGATTCAGAATGGGTTCTAGAAGTACCTTAGTGGACCATTAGGATCTCTAGGTGGAACTTCGACAGCATCAAGGGTTTCAAAGAGACATGGACCATTCCACCATGGGCATACACTTTTCTCCATTCTAGTTTTCAGATTTGAACCCAAAAGCCCAGAGATTGGAAGGAACTGAACATCTGATATTCGAGCACAAAAAAAAACAGAAATCAAACATCTGCAACATAGCTAATGTGTCGAATCTTTTTTTTAAACAAAGTAGAGAATAACAGTCAACAGATTCACATTCAAGATGTGAAGATAAATAAGATTCAACATTCAGCTCTCTCTCTCTCTCTCTCTCTCTCTCTCTCTCTCTCTCTCTCTATATATATATATATATATATATATATATATATATNCATCCAAAAGAGTATTCTTTTCCAAGATATTTGGAACATATTTAAAAGGTACTCCCTATGTTTCATTTTATGTGACCTTGTTTGACAGGGCACGGAGTTTAAGAAAGGAGGACTTTTGAAAGTTGTGATCTTGAACATGCCATAACATTTATATTGCTATAAGACTTTTGAAACTTGTGGTATTAAAAATGTCATAACATTTGTTGGGTTATAAAAGCTTATCATTAAGGGTAAAATGGAAGTTTATTAAATTACTTCCATATTAAGTAAGGGTAATTGGGAACGGACTAAAAAGAAACTAGATCGCATAAACTGAAAAGAAGGGAGTCATCACTTTAAATCCTTTACTTCAACTTAGATAGTCAGCTTGAATCAATATGTAAGTAAAGTTTCTTCTTAAAAATGTTGAAATGTAATTTTACCATATCAAGTGGATAAGTGGCTCGAGAAACAAGTAAACCCTAGTTACTTTATACTGGAAGGCTATAATAGCAAGACTTATGTAGAAATTTTTTTTTTCAAAAAAAGCACTCAGTGATTCATAACAAATCACTTCAACACATCTAAATCACAAACAGCACCAAACAAAGAGGTAACCCGCATCTTTACCTTTCTTGACATTGTACCCAGACGACCTCAAGAATGGAACCATTTTTGACTCGATCTCATCGTACCTGCATGAATCAACTGGATCAAAATTAGTTGCTAGAATATATCGGATATTGATGATAATGCACAATTCAAACAGTAGACGGAAGATCACCTTTCTTTAGACCAATTGACAGTAGGATCATCCATCTTATTTACAACAACAAGAAGCTTTGTAACTCCTAGAGTCTTTGCCAGTTGAACATGTTCACGTGTTTGCCCACCTCTTTCATATCCAGTTTCAAATTCACCCTTTCTAGCCGATATAACCTTCACAACAAAGCAGACAATGATCAACAACTACTACTCCTCAATCCCAAACTAGTTGGGGTCGCCATATGAATCCTCACTGTCAATTTCGCTGTATTTGGACCCATTTCATTCCAATATTCAATAATTTGGCAAAAAGAGTTTCAAATATAGAGTCAATTCACACATCAAAGACTTAACCAGTATAGGCAAAAGTTCTTACCAGCACGCCTATATCGGCTTGAGATGCTCCACTGATCATATTGGGAACATAGCTCTTATGACCCTGGTGACGAATGGAGCATAATAAAAAAGTAGATGTAGAGAGAGAATGGAAGCAAAAGTTGAAGAGTACATAGATTACCAAGAAAATTACAACTTACATGAAGTTACAGGCAGAATATATTTGTAATATTGACTCATAATAGTCATGATAATTGTTTTTTTTGCTCCAATATTTAAAAGTTTATTTCGAAATACTATCTATTACACCTCAAATCATTATTTATCATTTCTTTTCCTTTTTTTCTTTTTTCTTTGTTCTTTTTTTCTTTTTTTCTTCTTTGTTTTTGGTAACTAACCAGCTTTTATTAATCACCAAGTAAGAATATAAAAAAACATAGCTTAACTAACTCAATAAGCTATCTAAATATCTACAGATCATCAAACCACAACAATCAGCTAACTAGAAAAGAAAAGTCAGCAGTATGCTCTTATTAGTTCTGATTGTTGCCCTCACATTACAGACATATGCAGCATAACGACAGAACCCTGGAAGAAACTCCAATCTTAGCCTAGTGTCAATCAGTCTATTAGTAGCTCTCTGAGATTCTAATATGGTTTCATTAATAAAATGAAAAAGTATGTTGCTCGGACTCTCCAAAACTGCTGCCGCACCCGTGTCGGATCCTCCAAAAATGCACTAAATTTAGAGGATCCGACACGCACCCAACAACATTTTTGAAGAGTCCGAGTAACATAGTGAAAAACTAAACCTTGTCCTAACCTTTTCGACTTTCTTCTTACCATGCAGTAACTATAGGATCAAAGACTCAAAATGACAAAATTGTAAACCAAAAGGGAAGAAGATTTAGAACATTGAAACACTGTTGAGGACAATCTCAAGAAAATGTAAAACGGGAGATGAACATCAAACTTTCACGACGACGCAAAAGGAATTCATTAATGATTTAGGATCAGCATGAGACTTCTTTCTAAACCCAATTTCCACTTATTAGTGTAATTACTAAAAGAAAAGGTTTAAATAATACAAAATAGACTCTACTGCTAAGTTATATCCAGCATGAGACTTCTTTCTAAACCCAATTTCCACTTATTAGTGTAATTACTAAAAGAAAAGGTTTAAATAATACAAAATAGACTCTACCGCTAAGTTATATCCCTTCCCCGCCCATCGAGAAATAGAACTGACTAATCCTAAGTCAAAGGGTCGAACTTTTGTTTAACATTTCCGGAACGACCGCCTATTTGTCCAAGGATTGCCATGCAGACCCTCGGTTTTAGATAAAGGAAAACTTTCTATAGATTTATGAAATCATGGGGCAAGCAGCACCCATCATGCACATAAACTCATCACTTAATACCCATAACTATTCTTCCTGCGTACAAGGTAAACCAGAGAAAGAATTAGGATTCAAAGTTACCGGGGCATCCAGAATTGTAAATCTTGTAGTATCTGTTTCAAAATGTGCTCTTCCTACTTCAACTGTTATTCCCTGAACAGAAATTCACAAACAAGACACACACAATTGCCACTCGTAAGCAACTCCCACCAATTCCAGCCCAAGAAAAGGCAAGTTATATACCAATTTAAGTACAAAACAAATAAATAAAGAAGATAATACCTTCACCCTCTCCTCTTCATTTGTATCCATTATATAGGCCATATACCTAAAAGAAAAAAACGAGAAGTGAAATTAAGAAGCTAAAGGAATAGACAATAATCGATTAACGACAGGGACCAGAGAGTCATTCCAATGAAAATTTATCTTCATTCTTTAGTAGGATTATACATCCTACACAAACAATATACAACCAATTCTAGAAACTATGGCAAGTTATGATGAGCAAAGACTAGCCCGAACACTTTGATTTCTGCAAGTAAACCAAAAAACAAGAAGTTTAAGAAAAAACCTTTTTCTAAAAATAAAAAGAAGGATGACAGCAACCAAGAACAAGCATTTTTTTCATTTCCGACCTCCCAACACTGTGCTCCGTCAGAAGGTCATGGGACTGCACAGCTGCATTACACAAAGAACCACACACGCACACACACAAAGTACTTTCTGGAACAACAAAATGTTCAGAAGCAATCAGATTCCATATGCCAGCAATGCGTGCAAATTAACTAGCACATAATTCTAATTCCAAAACTAAATTACAAATTAGTGAACCTATCTAATCCCATAAAAATGAAGCAACATCTAGTGTTCCTTATCTCCCTAAATTACAATCTCCTAATTGTCGTTGTGACTGCACTTCTTGTCATTCACATTTGACAAAAGAGTCAACAAAGGCAAACTATCACAATTTGCATGTGAAATTGCCAAAAACCAACTACTTCTTCATAAGATCCTGCAGAAAGCAGCAAATGATAGTGACCAAACTTACTTGATACTATTTTTCTCCTGACACCAACAACTTTTATAAATGTATGGATGATGCAAGTAGTTTATTAACAAAGTATGTTCTGGGTTACCCTTGTCCATTTGTCATTGGTAATCAGTAGATTATGATAATTACAACCATAATTCATCTAACTGATGAGATAGTATAAAAGAATCATGATAAACCAAGCTTCATATTGAGAATCTTATCACAGGCTCTCCTAAGAACCAGGAGAACACCATGAATTGTGCAAAAAGCTATACACAAGCTCCACCAATTAAGGAACACTGAAAGCATACGTTGACTATAGTAAGCTAGTAAAACCATACCAGCTCTCTCTGTTTTTATCCTTTGCTTCTCTCTCGTACTTCTGTATAGTACGGTCATCAACTTGACCACTAAGTAATAGTATTTGTCCTCCAATTGTTGACTTTCCAGCATCTGCAGGTGATACGGAAAACTCTTAGTCATGAATTTTTTTATCAGGCTTAGTAATAATTATATGATGTTCCTAAGTTAAATAATTAGATTTCATCTTGCCAGTTACCTATCAGCTTTGGGAAGTCATTGCCAACTTTCACATAAGAAAAAGAAAGTGATCTTGCATTCTACAAACTGTGCACGCAGAAATGGCTTGTACTAGTTCGAATAAGTTGCGCACAACTTACCTACTTTAACCAAAATCTCAAACATCACAGTTTTTTCTATTCCACACACGCCACACTGACATCTCAAGCAACAGCTAACTTGTGAAGAAAGCAAGAATGGGGAAGGATTTAGAGCAGATAACTTTCCCTTAATAAAGAAAGATCCCCAAACACTGGCGTGGAGGAAATAAACAAATTGCCAAAACATATCAGACCTAAATTATAGAACGATGTCAGTACAAGAAAAAAATAGTAGTAAACACTAAACACTACTGAACCAACAGTTATTTAATACTCCTTTTCCTCTTCTAGCATATTATTTAGTTTGCTTTACTGTCCTTCTTGATACTTCGAAAAGCTATAATCGTCAAGCTTCACATGATGACAATCATGAATCAAGCGGATAAAGAGTAAATCAGAAAAAAATAAGACTTACCCACATGACCAATAAATACCACATTCAGGTGTCTCTTTTTATTGACTTCAACCTCATCTTGAATATCTTCTGGGGGTGAAGCTTCTTTGCCAGCAATACCCTTTGGCTCAACATTCTTTGGCTCTAAGTCCGGATGTGCTTCATCTTTCAACTCTGAAACCAACAACAAAGTAAACACTTACATAACAGTTTCATTAATATGGTTTCAGTAATCTAAAGAAAATCATCTTTCTCCCAAACAATCTAAAGTCTAAATAAACCAAAACTTTCCTCCCCTCTATTTCTTTTTCTTGATAACTTAAACACATCAAAATTCCCTAGGAGTAATGTAAAAGTAAGCAGATAATGAGCTTTGAAAACAAAAGAGTCTAGAACAACTCTCATTGAAGTGTGGCTGGCTGCTTGAAGATCTCAAAAGGAATTCTCTCAAGGTTAATTTTCATATATTCACTACCGTAAATGACGCACATCACCAGATACAAAATAGTTTTTCTGGCAATTTAGTGTCATACTAATAAGCATAGGGGCATAGCCTTCCAGATAAATCTTCTTCTAAGCTAAATCAATATATATTCTCTTCAGAAAAAGAATAATGAGAGAGGCACAAGTGGCAACATATATCTCGTTTGACCAGTACAGCTATCACCACGCAACATTAACATCTTTCTGCAACGCAAAGCCACCATTTTAGGGCAGATGACCAAGCCACTTCAGTTCATTTCAGCGTGATTCTTTTCCAAACAGTCACCTCAAAAACAAAACTTCCCCTACAAATTATTTAACCAGATTCCAAACTCTAAAATATACAGGCAGAAATTAACAGGGTGCCCATCATCCAAAAGTAAAACTGAACCATCATTAGCGTCAAAATAGATACATAATCATCCAAAATAGCATTGGTGAAGCAAGATAGTGTTACAGGGGAAGCAGTGTTTTAAAAAGCGGAAAGTGCAACCAAGTGACAAGGTTCTTCTGGCTTGAAGCGAAGCGAGAAATGAAGCGCACACTTCTTTGAAGTAGAGTGCACAGTTCCAGAAAATTAAAAAATACCAAACATATGTGAAATTTAGTAACTATAATAATCACATTGCAACAAAAATAAGTGATTTCAACATCCAATATCCAATAATGTCAATACCAATCCAACTTCTCAAAGTTGAGATTCAAAGAGTCGGCCTCTTTTCATTTGAATCACGTTGCGATCATTGTTTAAACCGCACATTTCACTTAAGTGCATGCCACATGGCTTCATCCATGAGCGATAACCACATCGCTTTAAGCGATGAAGTAATGGCTTTTAATACAACTGAGAGGGAGGAACAAAATGAAAGTAACGTTGAGTTCTACGCCCTAAAAAACCGGTACAACATGTATTCGAATTGGAATGGTTCCCCTTTTCATCCCCTTCTATGAATCTCCTTGACAAAACTTTTTTCCCTGTCGCGTATGAAAAAAACTTTTCTGAAAGGCTGCTAAACAAAAAAACTGTCCGCTGATGACCTCTTCCTCTAATCGTTTCGCTCAGTTTACCCTCATTTTTTTTTTCTTCCATTTTCCATTATTAAAGCATTTTTTCCTGGCAGATTCTTTATGAATCAAAAGCAATCTAAACTTCTTATTTGGCATTGATATTAAGGGCCTGCTAATGCATCCGATAACAGCTAGGCCAAAAAATGCTTTAACGATGCGGATACCCCAGTCAAGAAGATCAACAAGAATCACCAACAACATAAAAGACTAAGCTCAATAAGAACCAGGTGACACATAACCTGTTCACTAATCTACCTACCATCTTCTGGCATATCCGGTTTTTCATCATCGCCTGCCTCCCTCTCTTCCGCCATGGCACTATCCTCTACCATTTAATAAACATTCAAAAAGTCATCCATAAAGTTCCCAATATTATAAATGGAGGATATGAAAGCAGGGAAAAAAAGTATATCTATCAGCCTCTATATATATATATATATATAAAACAAACGTACAGCATACCAAATAGAGATTTGAGAAAGATTATGAGCCGAAAATAACAATTGAGTCTAACAACCTTTGCTAACTTAAAACCAAGAAGAAAAAAAGAGAGAGAACCTTTTCTCTTAATTTGGAAGAAAAGGTTGTAAGTGTTGAAAACACAAATTATGCCATAAGCAATGTTTACAAGTTCTTGAAAACTTGTTGATTGTTGAAAAGATAATAAGTGATCACGAAANATCTAAATATATGACCAACAAAACATTTTTTCAAAAAATTTTGATGCTCTGGGTTTAGCTTACATGGAAGTTAGCTTATCCCCCCCTCCCCCTAATCTGGAAAAAAGTCTAACACGCACCTCACGGCCCAAAGAAGCAAGAAATCATCTCAATATACACAACAATAAGCCTTTATTTTAAACCACAAGAAGTTTCAATGTTGTGTGTAATAATTACAAATCCTTGTAGAGGGAGGGGTCAATTTAAATCATAGGCTTAGCTATAATATCCTAGCATCAGAGCCATAGCAATGAGGAAACACATCCAAATATACAAGCAAATAGTCACTCAAGAACAAGCAAAGGGCAAGAACATTAGTGAACTTGCTACAAACCTCCATTAGTTTTTTCAGGTTTTATAGCTTCCTCGGGTTTTCCGTCTTCCACGTTAACCATCACGTTATCTTCTGCTAACATTCAATCACATATTAGACAATTCAAACCCATGCTTCCTCGCAGTAAAGACTTATAAGCCAGTACTGGTCAGCTCTGATGAAAAGTGGATGAACAATCAATGGCTACTTAATAAATCATAAAACTGCTATAATTTGTTATACCGGATGAGTCGAGCTGCAGTGCCTTGATGTCCTCTTCAATATTATCTATCACATCAAACAACCAAAAGGCATAAAATCCATTATAATTATTGAGTTCTCCTAAAGTAACGGACGGACTTTCCGATTTTCACACAAAATAAACAGCTTCGAATCTAAAAGTAAAAATCCAGTGAAAATTAGATGCAACAATAAACCCTAGGTTGCATGAACGATAGAGTAAATGAAGATCTGGCACCTAACATAGAAATTCGCAGTGAAATAAAGTACATACCCATGGCAGTGAATTGAGTAAAGGACACTTAGGGTTTCTGCTTGCGGTAACAAGAAGCTGAACAAATCCGAGGGCTGCTTATGGAACTCAACTGGTGGATGCTGTCTTCTTTTGCAAATTTATATCGCTCGTCGAAACCGTAACCTGGGGTTTTAGGACCGGTTCAGATTTTAAACCGGCCTGTCAAACTAATCTTTTTTACTTTATTTTCTCACTGTAGCAAACAATTAAATTATTTGGGATATTAAAGGAAACATGTAAAACCATTTGCAACGAAGCACCCTCCACTTTCAAGCGAGGTTGTGAGTTCGAGTTAACCCTACAAGGGGGAAGTTCTTGGAAGAAGGGAGCCGAGGGTCTATCGGAAACAGTCTCTCTACCCAGGTAGGGGTAAGGTCTGCGTACACACTATATTCCCCAGACCCCACTAGTGGATTATACTGGATTGTTATTGTTGTTGTTGTTGTTAATGATATAGAGCCCGGATGAACTTATTTTAAGTGACTTTTAAGACAAAATAATTTTTAAGCCATAAGTTAGGAATTCTAGTTTTTGGTTTTTGGTTTGTTTTTTGTCATTTTAGCTTAAAAACAAGTGCTTAAAAGCACTTTTTTACTTTATTCAAATACTACAGAATGACTTAAAAGCTATTTTGACTTATAAGCACTTAAAATAAGTCAAACTAAACGGGCTCATATTCAAATTAGTGTTTGATTATAAAAATTTGTTTTATTATTTCTACTTCACATATAGAGAATTTGAAGTTTGGAAAACTGATTTGACAAATATTTCAAAATTCAAATCAAATAAAATTATAATTTTTAACTTTTTTTCAAGTGAAACTATGTTCAAATACATATACTTTCAACTTTTGGGGGACGTCTAATCCTTTTGCCGCCGCAAGGCTGGCTAATCGTACGCAGCAGGCTGGAGTATCCCTGTATTAAAATCCGAACTGAGAAAAATAACCTGGGCCTCGACGATTATCACCTTATATTACCAATTGGGCCTCGGTTCAGTTGAATATAAATAGACTGTAATAAAGATTTCAAGCCCAAGCAGACTTACCAGTCATGTTCAGCTCTCTGTACTCTATACTCACGGGGATCAGATCTAACACTAGATTTTGTCTAGCTAAAATTTGAGCTAGACGGCAATCATTGAATGGGTGGGGTGGGATTTGTGGTAATTAAATTACTATTCAGCCACAAAACTTGACAAAGTGGCTCTCTAATTTGGTTTTTCGTTAGGTTGTTTTTGGGATGATTAAGTTCTTGTTAGGCTATAGGCTTTACATGCTTTTAATATATACTAGTTATACCATACGCGCGTTACGCGTGTATCCCGTCTCAATAAGCATATATATANAAAATAGGCTTAAGAAAAAAGGGTGAGCTCCCGGAAATGATAATTATTGATTCAGTTTAGCTATTCAATAAATGAAGAAATGGTGATAATAGAAGTCCTCAATCATCATAGTCAATATTTTAAACTTAAGATTTATTCATTACTATAATTTCACTAGTTGTCGTGTTTCTTTTCATTTTCATCAAGAGCACATAAACTCTCGAAGATTAAGAGTTTTTTTTAAATCTTTTTGAGAAATATATATTCTTAAGTTCATTCTAAAAAACAAACACAGGATCATCTAACTGACAAAAGATCTTTTTTTTCTCGCAAGCAAAATGTGAATTATTCTATTTTTTTTAATTAATAAGAAATACTGTAAAAATTATAAAAACAACTAAAAATATAAATAAATTTTGAGATTTTGGCCAAACATGCTCATGTTCAATCCGTGAATGCAAAATTTAATTATTAATATAAATGCGTGAATGCAAAATTTAACTACTAATATAAATGTGTGGATGCAAAATTCAACTACTATAAAAAAAAACTTGCTCAAAGAAGAACCTGAAAGTCCTTAATTTTATAGTTGTTGGTCGAACAAGGTAAAATTTTGATAATGAAAATGTAGAATTGTAGCTTCTTTTATATAATTTGAAACATGAAATGATTTATACAAATGTAAAATTGTGTATAGTTTAATGATTTATTAGAAAATAAAGACTCCTAAACCAAAAAGGAAATCAAATTGCACGTTTTTACCTAATATTTTTGAAGAAGTAATCTGTCAAAAGTTTATTAACTAAAAAAATTCCTACGATACTTTCCTTTGAAAGTGAATAAAATTTTCCTAAGTTAGTTGAAAGACGAAACGTTTTTAGTTTTAGTTGAATAACGAAAACTTTCCTAGTTTTAGTTGAAAGTATTTGAAATTTTAGATCTAAAAGAAACTGAAAAATAAAAGTTTTAAGTATTAGATTAATAATTAAATGATTGTTCCTAAATAGTAAAAAATTAATTAAATGTGAAAATAATCAAATGACTATTTTGTCTAGTATGAACTCTATTTTAAAGGGGTGAAAAAGACGAACAATATTTTGCTAAGGACCTTCGTGCTTTTAATATATTATATATATATATACACACACACACTACATTAAAGTGGGAAGCCTTTAAGTTAAAAGTTAAATTACTATAATAACCTTCTTATTACCCTTATATCCTATGTAATATTTAAATATCTATCTATACTATATTGAAAGTGGAAAGTCTTTAAGTTAAAATTTAAATTACTATAATAACCTTCTTATTACCCTAATATCCCATGTAATATTTAAAAGGAAAATTAACGCCTAACTCCTAAGAGAAGCAATGCTTCATACGCTGCAACAGCCCCCAAAGTAAACGGCGGATTGAAATTGTGACTTTTTCTCTAGCACTTACATGTGTAATTCCTGTTTTACAGAGTACAGTGTGTTCTCAGATGAAATTTGCTGTATTAACTGTAATGAGAAGCCTATTACAAATTTACGTTCAAACTGATGCTTATTGGAGTCATTCTGCTGTAAGCATGTGGAGAAGTCATCATGATTAAAATTTCTTTCCATTTAAGAATATTGTGTTTGCCGTTGAATTCATCACAAGCCTAAGATACTGGTTTTGATTACTAAGAAAGGGAAGAAATTATGGACAAGTATGATATATAGATTCTGAGTAATTAATGGATAAAGCAATATGCATGATCGGATTGTTAGTTCTTGCCCTGGAAGAAGATGATTTTAATTATATAGGTACTACGTTAATTTATGTACTTATATATCATACTTTATACATGTTTTAGTGTGTGCTAATTTTTTCGTGCCGCAATACAACATATGCAAGTGTTACATGCCCTTTGGAAGATACTCCGGTCAATGATATTATTGAAGAGAAGGAAAATTAATGTGTAATGAGTCCGATGTGGTGTCAGGATGCGTGCATTAACCGAATCCCTTTTGGGTTTTCCTCCGTATAATACTAAAATAGTTGCTTACTTGGGCCTTTTGCTTAAGATGATAACATCGTTTATGAACCTTTTGGTTTTAGGATTGCCTTATTTCATGGACGTTTTTCTTTTTACTTATCACTCCAATTTATTTAATTTACTTAGATTTTGGATTGTAGTCCCGTTGGATCTCCCGAAAATGCTAATAACTCTTTGTAATTCCAAAACAAAACTTCTAAGCAGACGCTAAAATAGCTTATGGATTTCTGAATGTCAGTAGTGTGCTAATCATTCCAACAATTCAAAGAGCAACAAATCTCCTATGATTTTTACGTTTGTGTAGTCTTTTTGTTAGTACTCTGTGATATACTATAGGAATCAACAAAAGAGATTAGGTACCTTGTATAATTCAATTATGTAGTCTTTTGTTACGTTAATAAAATATTTACTTTATCAGACAAATTGCTCCTTGAAATTTCTTTTGCAAAAAGTGTATATTCATCATAATGACCCTGCTTGTTGTCATATTCATGTGGCAAATGAGATGGATGTCTTGAAAGATAGAGATTTATACGTTATGAATTCAATTTAACGATATTTGTCAAATTCTTCTGCCAAGTCATACTCCCTTATCCGTCGTCCAATATTTCCTTTATGTCTAAACATCTTTATGATTACTCTGTGACTCTTCCTCCTGATGCTAAGGGAAATATTACTTACATTGCTTCCGCTTGTCAGTACTCTGTGAAGGTTCGTCATGACAACCCATTAAGCTTGAAATTTAGTTTCTAACAGTGATAGATAGTGCAAGACGTAAAGGAAACATGCATTTTAGTAAAGGCAGGCCAATTAACGGGAAGATAAAAGTTAGTAGTATATGTGCAGTTTAAAATAAAGTAAAACACCAACAGAATAGACAAAACAATGTTAAAAAAGGTTACAAAAGGTAAAATATTTAATTTGTTTTTAGTTAACACATGAGCAATTAATCGTTTGCCGTGTAATAAATGACTGGGATATACCTGCAACAGGATACACATGCAATGCACGTGGTGAGAAATTAGTATATATATATATATATATTCAAGTTTCAAAATTGGTTTGTGCCAGTTTTTTGGTGAAATATTTTTCCTTCACTCACAAAATTTTAACATCTTTTCAAGTAAATACATGTCCAATCATAACCTCAACTTTTAAACATTATTTTTCAACACAACTTAGAATTTTTTTTAAGTTTCAAACTAAATATATATTCAAATGCTAGCTAAATTATTTATCGAAAAAATAAATTATTTACAAATATTGGAGGGATAAAATGATTTACAATATAAGTCGTTTTGTTTCATACCAATCTCAACCCTTGATTTCATTGATTGCTTCAACCAACACTAGGATTTTACCACTTTAGTAGTAGTATTTAGGCCATCTCCAATCCAACTCTATTTTTTATCTCCAAACTCCATTTTGGAGTCAAAAAATGAGAAATTTTGCTCTAACCCAACTACAAATTTGCCTCCATTTTGGAGGGTGAACAGTGTCACTCTAAATTTGGAATGACACTATTCATCAACTCCATCACTATTTTCTATTATTTATTATTATTTAACCATTTTATTTATCATATTATATATACCTAATTATGTTTATGTAATATCTTTATAATATTAATTTTACATCTTAATTTTGACGTATAATTTTGATAAATTAATTTTCGTGCGTATATTTCTTTATATATAAAATTGGAGGTTAATTTTATTATAAGTTATAATTGTATAAAAAAA